AATAAAGGTATTATTTAAAGGAATTAAAAGGTTGAATAAATAGTAAGTGAATGATTTGAGTTTTGGTACTTTAGTTTCTTACTAAATTAATAGTTAAAAACTTATTATTATAAAAAAAGGGTTTATTAGGGAAAACCGCCTTGTTCATATTTTCTAATGAGGTCGATCCAATTTTTTTTCTCCTTTTTGAGATACACCCAATTTTGCCAACTTGGCAAAATATATTATATAATTTCCCTTTAATACCCCTGTTTTATTATTAAACGGCATTTATTTCCTGTAATACGTGATTTGAGATTTGCTGATACGTTGCCTAAAATCACGGAATAAATTTACGTGAGATCATTGGCCGTTATATCAAATCGTGTACAATATTTTTTGAAGATTTCTTCATCGTTCCAGCGGGTTTTATCGTCATTGAAGATTTCTGCACCGTCGTGGAAATATGATCGATTTTTGAGCGTTTGTTGTTGGACGTTGTTAAGCGGGTATGAATGCGTTATTCGTTTTTATTTTTTGCTCAATGTCCATGATTGTCGTGTACGGTGGTTAGAAATTTTTAAGAGTTGTGTTGATACTTGATTCTATTAAGTAGAACGTTTTTTAACAAAATTATTCCGTCATATATATATATCGTTTTTTTTTTGCCGATGATGTTTGTTTGGAAGATGATTGACATAGTTAGAAGAGGATGGTTCACGCAGATCGGACCAGAGTTGTTTTATATGAGCTTCGTAGTTGGTTTATGCAATAATCGGAATAATTGTCCGCTTTGGTCGAGTTCATGTTTTTATCCCGATCGATAGTTGGTTTATTTGTTTATAACAGCCGATTTAAGTGTGCTGGGTAGTACATTAAAATATAGTTCGTAGTCTTTTTTAATTTAGCGTATGAATTTTGCATTTTAAGTTTATTTTTGATGATATTAATGTATTATCATTCAAATGTATTTGCAGTCTATTTAATTATTTTTTAGTATTCTGCATTTTTAATTTTGTTTCATGATTTTAGGTTTTTTCGATGGCGAATTTCGTACGGATTTTGTTGAGGTTTGGTGGGTTGGTTGCTATAAAGAGGTGTTTACGATGTAATGGCTCGGTAACTTCGGTTAAGTGTTAAACCGTTGTAATACAGTAGTATAATATTATGAATACCGTATGATACTACCATTATCATTTTATTATACTATTATGAGATTATTAATGTACTAGAGTTTTTTAACTCGACATATTGGTTTGATTGTGTTATGATGTGTTTTATGTATTTTATCAAAACCCTATATTGAAATTATGAGATTATTAATGTACTATTTTATTGGTTATGTGGAATACTTTACGTTGGTGTTGTTCTCAATGTTCTTGTCATTTCAGTGGTATATTGTTTGTAACACAATTTCATATCAATACAATAACAGTAATATACTATCATAGCAGATTAATGTACTATATTGAAATTATTAATATACTATGTGGTTGAATAATACGGGATCCATAGTCTATTAACGAGATCCATAGTCGAATTAGATCAATAAGATAGTCTATTACATGATATAAGGAAAATTACCCTAATTGATTAGTATAACAAACATATTATTCAGTTTCCATATATATTATTATTTTTTCATATATATTATTATGTACCCTAATCGTTTTCATATAATAAGGAAAATTACCCTAATTGATTAGTATTTCAAACAAACATATTATTCAGTTTCCATATATATTATTATTTTTCCAATAGTCAATTAATTAAACCCATAGTCGAATTAGATATACATGGGATAGTCTATTAAAAGATATGAGATAGTCTAATAATTTAAAAAAGGTAAAGTAGCGGGATTTGTGGGAATTGATTGAGGATAATTATGTAATTACGAAAAGCTTGGGCTTTTATCAAAATGACAAATTTAAATTTGGGTCTACCCCTATTATTTGAATGTTTAAGGGGTTTATATCTAATAGACCCTAAAAAAAAATCAAACGCCTAAAAAGCAGTGTTCTAAAAATCGGTCGAGGCGGCCGATTAATCGGCCGCCTCGGCCGAGGCGGTCCAAAACCTTTACGATTTTAGTGTAAAGGTTTGAAAAATCGGTTTTTTGCCTATGAGGCGGTTTTAGGCGGTCTGAGTCGGTCCAAGGCGGTCTGAGTCGGTCCGAGGCGGTTCGAGGCGGTCAAACCTTTAAGGCGGGTCAAACTCGGTGGCAAAAAATCGGTCAAAAATCGGTTAAAAATCGGTTTTTATATTTTTTTTTTTTTTTTTTTTTTTATTTTATAATTCAATATAAAAGTTGGATTTTAATAAAAGAAAATATGAGTTTATGCCTTATTTTGTTTATGTTGATTGTTATTGTTAAAGAACTAATGATGTATGCCACGAATGTTCAAGAATAAATGTAAATTCAAAAAATTTGTTTTTTTATTTATATTTTATAAGGATATTTATGTATTATGATCTTATGATTATTAAACTTTTATTATGTTATTAGGATATATACATGATGGAGATATAACTATGTTTAAATATCTTTTTACATATGTTTGGAGTATTTATAAATAATATTTAGAAATATATTATATTAAATTTTAAAAACCGATTTATTTCCGATTTATCACCGATTAATCACCGCCGCACCGATTAATCGTGAGTCGGTGCCTGACCGACTCGGACCCGATTACCGATTTTTACAACCTTGCTAAAAAGCTTTAATGTACAGTATCTGAAAATTTCTGATTTTTAAACAATATTTTTTCAATCCGAATTCCGGGTTTTGATTATTTTTTTCTTGGATTTTTTCAGATTGAAAATTGGTTAATATATACATGAGATTTCAAGTTTTCAATCCAATTTTAATTTTCAAACATTATATTTAAATATCAATATATTATTTATTATTATAGGTAATTTAGAAAAAAAAAAAAAAAAGAAAGTGATATTTTCGAATTTCGCCGATTTCGATCCGAAAATTTGTTATTCAAACTTGGCGAAATGTTTGGAAGGGAAATTGAATTAATTGTTCACTTCCAAATAAAAAATACTTTTTGATCTATATGATTATCATCCCCTATATTTACTACGAGTACTTTGTTGCAATTAAGCTAAATATGAAGGTGTTAAATGCAATAAATCATTTAACAAAATGCAATAATATCCTTTTCTTGATAAACAAGATAGAAAAAAAAAATCATTTTGTTTTCATCTTCATTACAACTCAAGAAAAGAAAATACAGAAGTAACATAGTTTACAGTATCAAAATCATGGGTGGAGGATTCATGTTGAGTGGCAAGTCAGCCTCTTTCGCCGCCGCAAACCCGTCGCTCTACGCCGCCTCCGGCACCACCAGAAGCTTCGACGCTCGTTATTCAGAGGCGGCGATTTGCAACCAGAGCAATCCATCTTCTATGAATATTGGCGGGTCCGTATTCGGGTCGGTACCGACCCGATG